GTTCTTGCCCCGGGACAAAAGGCAGTCACCCCTTAATTAAGAAAAATCCCAAAGATGTGCCCTTTTTGCCAAGATAAGAGTCGGGAGTTGAAAACTCTGATTTATTGAGAACTAAAAGTCAATGTCGGGTGTAATACTCTGTCACACCAGTACTTGTCACCCTTACATCCAAACATACACACTGGGAATTAAGCACGTACTAACTAAGCCCTTTCGTGTCATAAACGACTATTATGTTCCGTTAATCTTATATCTTTAATTCCAATACATGAAGTAGCTTAGAGAATTACCGTGTGGGATACCCCCTATCTATGTTCATAATTTTTTATGACAACTTTGGGTTCAAGAACACAGCAGTAGAGCAGTAAAGAAAATGACTGCCACCAGCTTTTCTTCTCTTGGTACTAGTTAGTAATCAATCTAACCTGAAGTGCTTAAAGTTTCACTGAGAAGTGTTGAGAATTAGGGCTAATGTAATATGGTGCTGCAGTAGACGTCAGAAGCACAAATTGTTTTAGCAGAACAGGAAAAGATCCTGTTCCACTCCTGTCCATCCTGTGCGGACCCATGGGATATCATTAAAGGAAAAGTGCTGAGGTCTCTAGCCCGGCCACAGGTCTGATTAAATCTGCCCCCAACCTCCACTCTACGCCCAAGGGAGTTGGTTTACGTACAAGGCACGACACAGGTAGAGGGCTTCAGCTATCAGTGCTTGATTGCTGGGGTTTTGTTTTGAGCGTTTTGTGGTCAAAATACATGTAGCATGGACATGAAAGAAAATGTGTTGAGCCATATGCTGTTCACATGTCCAATCCTGAAGTGAACATTTCTGGTGTGACAACTCAACTCACTCAATAGAATAAAGTTTGTCAGTTTGCACGGATTACTTTTTACATTACATCCATGAAGTTTGGTATTTGAAAAAAAGGAAGATTCTGTTTTTTTGGTGTAAAAAATACACTTAAATAGGTAAAAAAAAAGATTGACTTTAAATGGAGTGAGGTTTGGGGGAATATAGTGATCTGTGGTCAGCTGTAGCATCTGTCATCTCTAACATAATACCCAGTCACCAGGACAGCGACTAGAGTCCATGACTGCCATTCCGTGGGACAATACCTCCCCATTGTTCTCCATTGTCCCTCTCCGCAGGAGGTAATTATAGGCCTAATTGTGACCATTCAGATGAAAATCTGCAGCGACAATGGGACAAATGGACAATTTTATCCCCGACAAAGCACTCAGGATCCCAGCACAACTGACCCATGAGGTACCCATAGGAGCACAGGCTACATGGAGGAAGAAAGAGGGGAGATGAAAGTAAGGAGAACAATAGGTGACGGGATAGAAAACTCAACTGTTAGGCCATAACAAGAAAATTTTATGGATGACATCCATGCATGCACTGACTTTTTTCCTCCTTCGACAATGGTTGACATGAGTGTAGTTGTAGTGATGTTTATGTTTATGTTGTAGAGCCATGAGTATAACTACATTGAGTGATACTAGGCTATAGCTATCACACTACTAGTGCCACTTACTGCACTTCTTGAATACATGAACAAAAGACTTGTTGGCTATGATAGCATGCTTGTCTTGACTTGTTACAGTGCTTGTGGCCTCAACCTTCAGGCGTCTTGTTTTTTGCTGTCCTTTTTTGCTCTCTTGCATTACATTTGGAGTTTGCATAGTATGTCATCCATAAAATTTACTTGCTGTGGCCTTATTAAGAGGAGATGATATTCTCTATCAGTGACAGCTTACGTATACAAATAACCAACATCATGTCAATATGCATTGTATTTCTTGGCCTGCTTTTATCACCCATGAAATAGTAGTAATTCAAACAAGTCCCAAATACATGTACAGCATTTCATTGAAACAGGACTACATGTATAAGGAAAAAAATGTCTATCATCACTGCTCCAGATTTTATTGAATGAACCAGTAGAGCAGTTGTACCACAAATGCTACCAAATTTGTGAAAGAGATCATAGTCTCTAAATCACCCTTGGGAGCTCATTTTTATACAATCAAAATAGACACTGATGTGTTCAAGTAAGCATAATGGGGCTAATTCAGAAAATCCATACAGTGTAAACTGGCCAACCATTATAGCCTATAGTGGTACCCATAGGAGAGACAGACACTTTCATACTCATACTGATGAATGACCGCACTAGTATATCATCATTCCAAATGAAGCCATCTTTTCAAAGTTAAAGATTTCATGCCACAGGTACACATGTGTAAAACAGGATATGTTTGCTGTAGTAAACAGTTCCCAGAGTACTGGCCCACTGTACAGGCTGTCTGCACCAGTGGCCTGGGACTGACATGGTCAGTTAAACACTTCAGATCTCATTTACTGATCCCGCCTCAGACTGACCAGCCAGTGAAAGGAACATGGCCACAGATGACTATCTCTATACACAGTCTTTTGTTGTCACCCAGGAACAATACACCACTGGTGCATATTGTTCATTTCAAAGGAAACGGTCTCACTATTTAACTGTTTAGAGGTGTTTTTATGCATGTCACAAAACCTAATAAAGCAGTTAACCTGTGAAAAAATGATTTTAAACAACAGTTGAGAGGTACTTGCACGTTTATTGCCTTTTTTCTTGAAAATGATACAGGACTTCCCAATTCTGGTTGTCTTTGGAAATGTTCTTTTCTATTTTTTTTCTCTATCATAAGCACTAGTCCTGCAAAGCTGTCAACAGAGATGACTGAAAGTTTATTATATTCCTGCCCTGTCTAATTAGGTCAATCTACAGGGACCAAAACTCAGAGGAATGCAGCTGATGAAATGGAGATGATTTACAGAACATACCATGGTGACACTAAAAACAGGTAGAAACACCGGATAAAATTAGGACAAAAAATTATCAAAGAAAGCATTTCTGCTGGAACAGCAAACTGAAACAGCAAAAGAAAAGTGTAAGTCTATACCCTGAAAAATTGTACACTTGAAGGACAAGAACCACAAAACCTGCCATTTTGAAAAGCCTTAGTTGCTTATTAGTGCACATTATATCATCCATAACCATTGTTTTTAGTCTGCATTTAGACATGCACACAGTTTGATGATGGTTTAAGTGTTGACTTGCAACTTTTTTACACTGAGTACAGTCTGCAATTTGTGTCGTGCGAGGATTAACATTTGCCAGCCTGGTAACATGATGTCTCAGTGATGAGTACAACTAGGAAACTTGTGCATGTACAGATATGACCAATTATGATGCCAACCAATAGAATAGGCCATATATCAAGTACTGGGATGATGTATTATGCCATCACATGGAACAACTGTATTTTCCATAAAGTACTCCAAAGGTGACAGTATTTCACTTTGTGTCAACCCTTGCTTGCTCTGTGTTTAGTTTTCAATGTGGTGTTGTCCTACATTAGAATCCAGGTCATTAATTCTGGCACCTTCTATGACATGTCGCTAGGTTTAACATAGCCCAGCAGTGTTTGAAGGGCACACACCCTTGCAAGACATTGTAACTATGCAGATGTTTGCTTGCCAGTTCCTTCTGACATCTGCTAGTACTTGTGTGGTGTCTGGCCTGTCCGAGATGTTTGCTGTGGCCGGGGAGGTACACTGCCAGGGAAGACAGTAAACACGTTGAGTGGACACCTCACTCTCATCCTCAAACAAATCCACAACAATCTTGGTCCTGATGGGGCACACTTACGTAAACATGGCAGCCACCTTGTATCAAAATGAACCACTGATTACAGACCAAATTTACATCACTCCTATACGTTTCAGGTATTAGATACAGCAATAGCACAATATTTGTGGAACTGTGCATTTCACAGAAACTCAGAAGAAAAACACAAGAACTGATAGTTTGGAGAATGAAGGCAGGACAAAGAAGGCAGATCTTTGTTACATCACTTATCAATTCAGCAGCAGCAGTGTTTACAGGTGCCCTGATTAGCCTTCAGGCCTGTCATGTACCCCCTGATTAATCATCAGCAAACAAGTGGCTGGGACCCAGTACAACTACTACAGGTGAGGGGGAAGAAAGGACTGCGGACATTTATTCACTTCCACCTCAAGCATACGTAGCTACTGTAAAAAACGTTTCAAGTCATAAGGTAATGGATAGGAAGTGATAAAAGGTGTAAGACCAAGACAATGCTTACCTCTCAATGTTTGCAGTACACAACTGGAAAACTGCCTTTAGGCATAACACTACAACAATACTCTTCTAAAATACTGGGCTTCCAGCATACAGGTCCCATCCAAAAGGACATCCATAACCAAAGCTGCTTTCATTTTCACCTGAGTAGAGTGAGGAAACTAGGTGTACTACAACATTGGGACCTGCTAAGGATTCCAAGCCAGAACCTTCAGACCTACCCTAACCACAAGACCACCTGGCATTTGTATGTTGATGTAAGACACAGGTTGTCTCAAGAAGAAGAGACAGGAATGGGAGAACTTGCTTCTTGCCCAGCAGTTCTATTACATTTCTAACAGACAGATTCTTTCCATAACTGCAGCTTTGGGTGCGCTCCTAACCCAGAATCAGACGAGAATGCAGGCCACATTCATGACCTATATGCCATACAGCTAGGCAACTGTATTTGGAAGAAGTCTCATTCCTCTAATCCCCTAACAATTTATTGGGTTACATGTCGAAGCACAGATCTAATTAAAAGTGGCCACTCTGTGATTTCAGCTATAGACTTCAGATTAGTTAAGGGATTACCTTGGCTTTATTGAGGCTGAGACAAATGCCGCAGCATAGATTGATTGTTCAGAGGCTAGTTGGATACAAGTGATCCTGATTGGACCAAAGAGCAGCTACATTTGAGCTGCCAACATGTGACATCAATCCAGACAAATAGGTGGTGGAACAGCTTCCCCAGATATGATTGCCACCATCCTGCATTGCCACCACACCAGCAATACATTATATACCATTCATTGTTTCACACATTCAGATAATAATCAGGAAACACATATCACAGACACAGGTCACTGAAATCAGATATTTATTCAGAAAAACAACACACATTTACACAACTGGTACAAACAAAGATGAAGCAAAGATATGAACTACAGTTAAGGTTACACAAACAAAAGTGAAATTCTTATCATGAAAATTTTCATCAGTATGAAAAAGACATTCATTTTAGCTTGTCTTCATGACATGAAAATAGAAAAAATGCACACGCAACAAACATTGTGAAAACAAAATAAACACACAGCAGCAAAAAATATGTGACAGTAAGAGTAATGTTTGGATATATCAAAAGATAAATCTTCTACACTCATATTGATCTTTTTCAAATATAGCAATTTAATCATTTCAGATCAGTGGTATAAAAATAGGCTATCTCCCATTTCTCAAATCACATGATTACACATTCAGCACATTTTTCTTTTAATACAAAACTTATGTTTGTATTAAGTGTCCCTGTGCTATCTCTAGATAATCCTTTCTAAATACCAGTATTGCAACTGTGTTGGATTAATTTTTGGTCCCTTTCCAACCACCACTGGATGGTTCTACTTGTTTTCCTCCTATTGACACACATCCCTTATTCTGAGAAGACAGCAGTATTGCCTCAAGGCCCTGTATCATAATCAGCCCTGACTGCCCATGCAAGTGTGTGCTCTGACCTGCCTGACTCTTTGCCCTGTACTACTTGAGCTCTGCCCTGCCTAGCTTGGCCCTACTTCACCTCGTTTGCCCTGTTGTGGTGGTTTGGGATCTGTTTTTGAGCCAGACAGAATGGGATCTTTGGCTCTGGACTTAGCCCTCCAGGCAGTACCAGAGGAAAACACAGGCTGCTCCCAGCTGGGGCCCATTACATCGCTGACAAGTGGATTTGGACTCATACCCTCAGAACTCTGGCTTGAACCAGACCCCTCCATAGGGTACCTGGTCAAGCCTGTAACCTTGGACAAAGGCAATCCACCTGCCGGGAACGATACATCCTGGTTATCCCTGTGCCTAGACCACATGCCCTCACCGCCTTTCCTCTGTTGCACGCTGGCAGGCTGGAAAGGATGGGACCTGAGGTAGGGCTTACGTTCAACAGGGTCCCTTTTTGGATGGGATGTTTGCTTCTCTGAGAAACCAGCATGACTTCTCTTAATTTCTACTCTGTGACTTGCAGCATCCTGACCCTGGGGACTTGTAGACGAAGCAACATTTCTAAGGAATGATGGTCTTCTTGTGGACGGAATCTGAGTCTTGGAAGACGTTACAGATTTACTGGACGGCAGCTCCCTGGAACTCCAAAGTGATGCGACTGATGCAACAGACTGTGTGTCTGAAGATGTGGAGGGCCTCTTACTTGGTGGGACAGGAACCATGGGTCGACTCCCACCCTGTAATTAGAAAGAAACCAATTGAATTGACAACCTTTCAGCCAAATGATAGACTCAATATATCAATTAAGGGCTGTTCCAATTTTGTGGCAAATTCAGGCCTCAAAAATAGCTTGGATGTCAACCATGTACATGACCTTTAGTAAGCAGGTCTGACAGTTGCTGTAAAAGATTAGCTTGAGAACTGCTAGTCTGAGTGAAGGGATGTGACAGCTGATGTCAGAAGTTAACAGTAAGGTCAGGGGACCAGGGCTAGTTAGTAAGCCTCTAGCTCTAGCCACCACCTGGCATCCAGCAGACGTCAGGAGTACTGCCTTCAGGCAATGCACTGGCAAACGTCTTTTACTGTTGGCCATGTTATCCATCAAAATGGGACCTTTGACAAAGAGATGTGCTGTTTTATTGGAAGAGATGCATCTGAATCAAGGTGGATAGATACAGTAGCTCTGCAATATGTTATTGTTCTGGTCTATTCAACATTTCTGGTCTATTCAACAGAATAAGACAGAGATGCAAGGAGATGTACTATTCCATCATTCTGACAGCAAGAAAGAGAGGAAGAGACAACACAGCAACAATTTGTAGAGTGAATACTAGTAGCTTGGTTGAGAACATTCAACACTCAGAATATAAATGACCAAATTTAAACTCATCACATTAAAGATACAAAAATACAAGATAATGTGGCACAATGAGCACATTTCACTTGGTTGGTACAAAGGGCATTACATAATGTCCTTGGTTATTATGACATGTTTTAACATCTAAGGCACTAACCTGTCTAGACACTTCCTCCCGTGTCCTAGCCTGCCTGGGTCTGGCCTGAGTCTTGGGCCTGGGTGGTGGGTGCACAGCCCTCTGATGGCTTGCAGGCAGATTGACGAACCCAAAGTTTGTCACCATGACTTTGTGAGGCTTGTCTGTGTGATGTTCCTGGGTTTGTGGCCTCGGTACATATTTGGTGCTACGATTTGTTGAACCCGACATAAAAGTTCTGGACCTTGGAAGGTACTGCCTGCCTTCTGATTGGCTTGGAGGCTTTGAGGGCATGACTGGGATTTTTGCTCCCTTGTGAAGGTTACCAATGCTATGTTCTGTGCCAGGACTTAAATTGACATTATCCTTTCTGTCTAACACTACAGGTGAGGACTCCAAGGAAGTGGTAGATGTACCTGTCCCACTACTAATTCCTTCATCCACAGACATAGATACATCCTCTGGGTGCATCTCTAAGTCTTCCAGAACTGGAGGGTCTTGGAAGTCAGTGGATGGCTGAGCAGTTTGTGGCACAGTCCTGTCTCCTGTAGAAATTGATGGCTGTGTGATGGCACCTGTTGGCTTTGTGGATCTGGACGGACTTTTGGTTGAAATTCTTCTTTCTTTCTCTGATGGCTCTTGCATAGGACTGTCATATCCTTCCTCCTTGGACAAGGGGAGACTATCTGTTGACATACTGATTTCATTTTTACATAATTCTTTACTGGTATCAACAACTTTTCCCCTCATCTTGCCCATTTCGTTACGCTTGTCATCAAACATTGTTACTTCAGAATTACATTTGGCATCATGACTGACAGCAGTCATGGACTCATCATCATCATCTTCATAATCATCTTCATACAAGTCGTGGAGTTCATCCTCCTCTCCATCATCTGCCTCATAGTCATCATCATCATAGACAAACCTGTCATCATTGTCTTCTGATGTCAGGTCTTCCTGGGTTTCCTCCACAAAGGCTTCCATTGGTTCACTTTGTCTAAGATGTTCCTGTGAGACAAAGAAGATTTCTGTCAAAGGACATAGATGTACAAAAAAGTCATTACATTTCCAAGCATAGGGAGAATACAAGACCTATCCCCCTATTGGCTAGTCTTGTGTGTTTACTGTCCATCCATAGGGTTGGTTAATTATGATTGACAGTGGAGATTGCCTGTGGGAACAAATTATTGACCAGGACTGTCTGAGCTTGAGCAGGGCAGGTGCAACAGATTTTTTTGTTAATCCACAACAGTGGTTTCAAACTTGACAATAGAATGGTTTGTTCCAGAATTCTACCTTTCCTTGGAAAATGCCTCCTTCTGCATTTAACATACATGTAGATGGAAAATTGTCAAAATAAAAAGTCTTAACCAAATTTATCATACTGTAGATGAGACATAAAACAGCGTAAACACTATCCATTGATACTGACTTAAGTGCAAACAAGGACTTCAATCATGCATAAACTATGAAAGAACAATCATGCGTACTGTTGGGACGGCCTCATCTGGCTTTTTGGCCTTGGGGCTTGGCTCCGGGGTGGCTGCATAAAACTCTGCCAGGCTAATCTTGGTCCGCTCCCTCTCCAAGTGCTTCTCCATAGCTACTTTTGACGTCACGTTCTGACAACACAAAGATTAACAAACTTATGCCGACTTTAGACTGACGACAGTATACGATCGCACGACAATCGTTGTGGGCGACGGCTGACTTTAGACACATGACCAGGAAGTGTGACGGACACCCGCAGCGCAGGAGGGCACGCCGCGCGCCAATTCAAAATGGCGAGAGAACCCCTTTTTTTCGGCATGCTGCAGAAGATTGCTTTTAATCTGCTTTTAACTCGTTGTTCTGTGGATGAGACTCCTAGTTTGTGCCCAGCAAAGAAGGGGTATGAGGCACATGTACCGAGCGGGGAAATATACTCCGGGTTTGAACCCGGCGTTCAGTGCTGCCGTCGGCCTGGCTATATTGGCCGGGAAATGTGGATCGGCAGATCGGTTCGTACCGGAGAAGTAGCGATTGGTGGCTGGGGATTGTACTAGACACGTATGACGATATAAAGTCTTTGGTTTGATGGCATTTAATAATACTGGCGATGTGCTTGGACATGAAATAACGCCTGCAGGCTTATTTGCATAAGGCCAATGACCTCCCACTTCCTTCGCCGGCGACGGTTCACTTTAGACGGTGGAAAATCCTCCTCGGACCCCCCGCTGAAGGATCGCACGACAGGGTCCGAGGTGGTAGTGACGACGATTCGAGGATTACCGTCGTGCGACTATTTTGATCGTCTTTAGACGGTTGTAAAATACCGTCGCCGGCAACATCTTGACGATAAACATTCGTACGACTATTTAACCGTCGTCAGTCTAAAGTGCCCCTTACTCTGGAGACCTGCTTCAGCTGCTTGTAACCTTTAATATCAACATCTCACATGAAAAGCCTTTCAAGTATAAAGGTAGGCTTTCTGTTCTTACAGCTTGATGATTGGATGTTGTTAAACACCCTGTAAGCTGATAAAGTATGCAATATGACAGAACGTATCCAGGGTCTTTGAAATCTGAAGCAGGTACTAGACTTGGGAAAGAGAACACACGTAACATTGACTGACCTGGGAAGGAGAGCTGATTGGGTCACATGACCAGGCTATGGAGGTGCTCCCTCCTTCAGCAACAGACTCAAGGTCTTCTGAGTCAGAGAGGTCACTTAGGTCACTGGCTTTGCTGTCTCTCTGCCAATCTTCATATTGTCGGGGGAAAGACAAAAATGGTTGTATGAATAGGCTAAATCTTGCCCATACACTGAAGCTTCAATGCGTAATGTAATTTCTCTCTTTGCCTAATAGATGTTTGAATTGATGGTACCACTGCCTCTCCACTCAGGAAGGGCAAAGGGGACAAGTGATGTGCCCTTCTCTTTCAGTCTTTTGGAAAGGCCACTGCTGTCATGCGGCAACTACAAGTTGATTTACTCACAACTATGCAGGCTCTCCCCGGAGGAATGCAGTTCCAGTATGCTCCCTGCACTCTGAAGCGTGATCAAAAGTGCTGTGTGCATTTCAAATCAGCCAAGTGCAGGTGTGCATTCCCTCTTCCCACATTTAATAACATCTCTTGCAAGGAGAGGTGGCCATGGTGGCACCTACTCCTTCTTCTGACGTTTCTACTTCAAAGAACATGTTAATTACAAAAACACATTTCACCCTGTAAAAATTATGTGTGTCTGTAATTGACTTTGGTGCTCGACTCTGCCTTGACTCTTGACCTGCGTGCATAGGCAGGCAATAAGCTGGCTGCTACCAGTGTGCATTTCAGTGTGAAACTGCTTCAATATTGTCTGATTTGCTGCATGTCATTGGACTTGCCACTGCATCAAATGCTGCTAATGCCCTGCTTGGAAATTTCTTGAGCACTATGCCTTACATGTGTAGAACTTGCAAGTGCATAGAATGATGGTAGAAATCCTTCCCTCTGTCTTCTCTAGAACTTAAATTTGCTACTTTCTTTTCTTTAGGCAGCCAGAAAGGGAATTATAAGTATATATATATATATAATAGAGAGACATAAAAACAAAAATGGCATCTCAATTTGAAGTCTGCCAATATGTTACTTCCTTCGCTGGGGTGACTTTAAAGAAGCAAGTTTGTCCCTAATGTTTTCAGTTATAATTGAACTTTTTCCAAGTGAGGCTAATGCTTCCTACGCAGAAGAGCATGCATGCACATCAATTCCTACCATCCCCTTAACTAATACAGATGATGTAGTTGCCTGGTACAATGCCGGGCCAGCATGAACTTCTGACCGTATCGCTTTACAATCATGTTGATGCGATATCAAGGGTTTAGCCAAAAATCGAGCCAAATGCGCCCCTCCTTTCCCACTAATGACAATGAATTACGCAAAGTAAATGATTAAAGGTGATCTGGATTCTAAAAGCCCCCAGATCAGATGGGAAGCGAGCACAGCGCCTCCATGCATATAGGTGGAGTCATTAGTGTAATCCGGTGCCATGGCCAATGTGATATGTGCAGGAATGTTGCTTAGTAAGATTGATTACAGGAAAATGGGTTTATTTCATAAAGGCACCCGGGTGAATGGGGTCGCAGGTATGAAGAATGGCTTTGGAATAACACCTGTGTGCCTCAATCTCCGCAATATTCCACTTGCCCTCATCTTCAAGTACATAAATCAATGCTTTAAGTCACTCCATGAGGGCCACACCCCCTTTTCTTCCTAAAGCGATAGATCCTGTCGTGATGACAACAGTTCTTACGCTTGTTCTTCTTTCTTATACCCGTGGCACTGTACTGCCTAACTCAGCCTACACAAGTGGTTCTCCCCTCCCCTGACTCATTTCCTCCCACAGGCAGGGGAGCAGGCAGAGTTCAAGGCTGTGACAGAGGACGAACCTGGCCTCCCAGTGAGAGCTGCGGCGTGCCAAGCCCCGCACACGATCCTGCGCACACAGACACCTCCTGTGTGAACCCTGTGTGGACTGTAGATCCGGTGGGTGGCTGCTTGGTCAGGAAGGATGATGTGACTGTTCTTCCCCCACATGTACAGTTCACCCAACTCTAGAACATCCAGGAAAAAAAAGACAGAGAAATAAAAATGGGGGGTTTCTTTACTGCAAGGAAACGTTTGCATGTTTAAGTTGTATTGTATAGAAAAGATTAATGCACATGAACTCTATGTATTTCAGTTACTTTTCAGCCTTAAACTATATAACAGGTGACAGAACCTTTAAGAAGTACCTTGTATGTGGATAAAGTATTAAATCATAGCTACACAGAGTACACAATGAAAAGGATTCTGTTTCAGAATTCTATAAACCTTATTCATTGTAAATTACCTTTTTTAAAATCTTACAGGTAACATTGGGCTAATTTGCAAGACAAAAAGTCAGTGTCAGGAGACAGGAATTAAAAAAGGGTCTGCCACAGGTTATATTTAAAAAAACAACAAGACAGGTAACTGCCTCGAGAATCGATCTAAATCAAGTCCTGCTCATGACAGAGTACGGAGTTTATACCCGGCAATACTGAGGCCCATTTTGCTGAAACCTGGGGCTTTAAACCATAGAGGCCGTCAATAGCGGGGAAGTCATCTCCCTTTGGCGGATTAAGCTTGGTTAACCTGGCGGTCTGGAAGATGTATGGGACATAATGCTGCCTTCAGATGGTAGGGTACATACTGCATGGTACATTGGGTATATGGATCTTATTCCCCCTTGTCGATGAATGTAGATCAGAATTAGCCACCTCACATCACCAGAACTCTGTTAGATCAGAGTTAATATCACTGCAAATTGTTGCTGGACAGGGTTCCTTCATAAATATTAAAGACCAAATCAATGCGGCTAAAATTGCATGCCTCCATATTACAAAAATATTAATAACCCCAGCAGAGAATTGCTTCTTAGCACAGTGATATTCATACATGAGGCATTGGATGCGCCGAATTAATGGTAATCCTACCATAAAGGTGGAGTCAAAAGGATGCGGATGAAACTTTTATTTGTGTAGAAAGGTATAAGGCGGCGAATCCGTCCCGGGTCGGATAATTTCAAGCCACCATGCATGTACATGAAGTGGCAGCAAGACAAATCAAGTGCAGAGCATTCAGAGGGAAGGCGGAAAATCTGTCCCACTTACAGGAGCAATAGGGCTAATAAGGAAATCTCTCCACAGAACACATTAGCAGCCGCACTGTCTTACCGATCCAGGGACTCTAACTCAGACCCGCTCCCCAACACACCACATGCTAATGTCATTAGTCTGTAGAGTAAATTTTAGGTGCAGTTGATTAATTCTTCCTGGGGAAATGAAATCCGCACAATTCGTGGGCGAATGAGGGGACCCTAATACACAACTGTGGATGAGATTACAGGGAAAGGGCCAGACCAAAGTCCCAATAAACCAAATGAGGAAATAGGCCCTCAGCTATCAAGGGAAATAAAACTGACATCACAGACATGTCGTGGGGTATCTCTGCCAATTGAGAACAAAGCGTTCTCTGTCCTCTACCAGTGCAGGGATTGGCAGAGGATGAAAGGGCTTGACAAAGTCAGGCTGCAGGTCAATAAGTACAGCTTAATTTAATGCTGGAGTTTTGAACTTTGATTAGGGATGGCCTCTGTAGAGTTGAGGGAACAGCACCCACAATGGGTATCAGGCTCTGATGTGGTTATATTGAAGATAATGAGAGTGGAGGATGGTGCAGGTTGTGGCTTGTGAAGTCAGATGTCAGCCGTGAAGCCACATAGTGTCACTGACAGGTAGCCCAATGACATGTCAGGAGAAGATGGATGGTGCAATGACATTAGCATCACAAACTAGGCAGAGACAAATGTCCCCAGGCAACAGGGCAGAACCAAATGTCAGGAGACAAGTCACTGAATGTCACCTCTCTCATATCTAACCTGTGTGGACAGTATTGGTGGGGTTTTGGGTCTTCGGATAGATCTAGTAGAGAGTTACTTAAATGCACTGGAAACTTCTGTGGCAAAATAGTACAGTTTTATGCAAGTCACCATCATACTAGAATATGTATGTGCTTGGAAAATGTGTCATGCTGAACAATGAAAAAAGGAGAGACATGTTTGCAAAAATGAAATATTTGCTTTTCTTTCTTCTTTCTTCAACATTTTTAAACAAAAACAGCTGGAAGGACAAATGCCATACAAGCATGGTGTGCTTGCAATGTTCTATTTTTGAACTACTGATAACAAAGGTTGATAACATTATGTCGAACAATTTTATGCATGTATCGTCAGGACATAAAAGTACATCTCAACATACAACTTTTCCCAAATGGTTTCTAAAGAGACAGATTCTTCTGTGAGACAAGCTTTACAGTATTCTCATCTGTTCACCCTTTCTGAAGGGGATACAACTTGTAAGAGCCACTACTCCACAGAAGGCAACAGAAACCGTAAGGTCATTTCAGAGAACAAATTATACCTGACATTGCCACTTAAAAATAATATGAGTCTGCTTTTGAACAACACACCACCCCTGCATTGGGAAAAAATTTGATTAAGTCTGTTCGGCTATACTTGGATGTTCATCTTTTTCCTGTTTATGATCCAGAGCCATTATGGGGGTTTTGGTAATTTGAACTAGTAGGATGAAGTTGAATGGATGTGGAAATGCAGGAAGACAGCGTAAGGTCAGACTTATTAGAGAAGACTAATGACAAGCCACCGACAGTCTTTCTGGCTGTAAAAGGAGACAGTGGAGACCTTTCCAACATCGCTGACACTAACTTCTCCTGTTGGAACAGTCCATGGTGGGGGGGGGGCAGCACATGAACACTTGCAGATAACTACCATGGTTGTATTGGTTATTGGTCAATGGTATTTCTAGGGGTCACAAGTCAACATTTTTACGATACCGGTATGCTTCAATGAAAATCAAGTTTCCAATATTAATCCTGTGAAAATTTGCTTCCACATAAGGAAGCAGTTGGCTGCTGTAACAGAAATCTAGCAAGGCTTTGCCTCAGCTGCATCAATGTCTTTATCCCTCCTTGAAAGTTGGAAAGATCCTTTATCTTGGACCTTTGATGAAATTTTCAACACTTGCAAGGCCTGGAAAATGATTATACAGATCTGTGCAAATCCTATAGTTAACAGTTGGAATCAGCAATATACCAATTATAACAAGTAATCATTTTGAGACAGAAAATGTGATAATCCCATCTGAAAGCAAAGCATGTTTGGGCCTGCTGGAAGAGGTGATAAAAATGTTGGGAAAAGGTCACATTTCTTGTCCTTGATTGAGTTAATTCCATCTCTTGCCTGCCACACTTGCCTCATAATAATAGATCCCTGGCAGCTCAGGCTTCACTGTAGGCACAAGGCCAAGAGGGGAAGAAAGGTTAGTTGTCGTCTGGATTATGGGATAATTAAGGTTCCATGGTCCACGCCAAGCCCCATCTCGCCTAATGCTTCAGGATGTCAGCTGAAGTGGAAGGTGTCTGGCAGCAAGGGAGAACTGGAAAGGTCGCAGGTCAAGAGGAGAGGGAGTCAGGTGGAAGGGAAACCTGTTGAAGATTTGGGTTGTGATGATGTGGTGAGGTAGAGAAGCGCAATGCTTCCCCATGTAACTAGGAAAACAAGAACCTAAAAGGAATAAAGCCATTTTAACCTTTTCCTTGCTGTCTACACCTGTGGTCAATGCAAATTTGGTGCCAAAAGGCTACTTCAGCAGGGAGGAGGTTAAAGAATGAGTCAAAGGGGGAATGGTAGTAGTGCAATATAGATCCAGGATTTCTTATATTGTTTGGTATCCTTGGTCAATCTGACTCATCCCTCTCTCTCCAATGACTCAAACTGATTCTCTCAAGTGTCTGTAAGAAAGACTTGCTGTGTGAATGGAAGTTGTCCATGTTTATGAGAGTGTCAAATAGAAATCTCACTGAGCTGCAGGAACTGGCCAGGAGGTTAAGAACAAGATCTACAGGAGATTACGAAGAGTAAATAACACACACGAACACAGCACTCAACTTCAACAACAGGAGGCAGCTTTAGACTGCTTGAACCAAAAAAAAAGTCCAAGTCCAAGCCCAATTAAAGTCCAAGTCTAAGTGCAATACCTGTAAGTGCAGCACTGTAACTCTCTCCACATGAAATCTGCACAACTCTGCCCCTCAGAACATCATGCCTGATCCGGGTGGGCTCACTCAGGAACATAACTTCTTCACCATGTCCCAGCTGGCCCTGCAAAAAAAGGGGGCATTAGGATTAGATGTTCTTACTTTTGTAAGTTACCATGATGGGAATGATTTTTTAAAGATAGGAAATGCTTATAATGTAAAGTCCCACATCAAATTAGTGCATTTGATTTAGAGTTTGCAGAAGATATCATATATAAAATTAATTTACTGGGGCCTAATAACAGCAACATTCATGTAAGGGCTGGAGGACTTATCATCATTATCATGTCAGGCTACTTGCTTCTCCAAGCGTCTTGGTCTTCAAAGAACCACTATATTCCAAAATCAGGCAATGTACTGACAAGGATTGAATTACATAACCAATTTCAATAGTGACAAAGGTTTTACAGAATGGGTATATGTACACACTAATGTTAGTAATGTACATAATCATCTGCCAGCCTGCATAACCTAATGTGCACATCCCAATCATGTACTGACACTACGTTCTTTCAGAAATTATACCAATTATGTTTTTCCACTGATACGCTATAATAAGGAAGCACTACAAAGATGCAGGTATTAGGATAGAGGCAGCACAAGGCTGCAGCTGCTTTCCAATCTTGTTGAGAGTTGGCATATGTCAACAGATTGACACCATTACAACTTCGATGGAAACATGACATACTGTACTCCCCATCTTTTCTTGGCAATAATTCCCCTACAAGTGCACTTACTGGGAGCCATTAGAGAACGTCCATCAGGCTGAAGTAATTCAATCTATGACCAGGCATCAACATTATGAAGCCCACTTCTAACAATGACAGGATTTAATCTGATAGTCCCTGGGTAAAAATGGAGCAAAGACTAGCGAAAGAACTCTAAGATAGCCAACTCCCGTCTATGACAAAGACACCAATAGTAGAACTTGGAAGATATATTTAAGACAGAGACTTAAAAGACTTCAGACGAATATAGACATTCTGGATAAGCATTGTATCTGAAGACCTTGGGCACTATTCATAATAGATCCCATTCAGCAAAGACAGAAACCACTACAGAAAGGGTTGGATACAGTAAGTCTTCCAGCATGGATGCATGTTGTACCTAAACCATGTGCACTTGACATGGTCTGAGTTTAATGAAAATGCTGAGAACCTGATTTTGGACATTTTGGGGTATACAAACAAGAAACTAAGTTCTGGCTATAGCAGGTTAAACCTGGCCAACCTTAATCAGATCTAAGAGAGCTTGTGACCTTTGTAAGAGGCCTGTGTTCCAGACCTCCTAACAGGCATGAACTACAGTTGACTCGTGAAAGAATAGATTTGAAGTGGCCTTGCCAAGAGTATTGGGATAAGGAATGGAAAGTTTATGTTCCCTCAAAGCCACTAAGTTGCCTCCCTTGTTCAATGTCAAGGGAGATGGAACATCTTCAGAGTAAGCGTTCAATGTCATTTGGGCAATAGCATTTTATGGAGCCCACTCACTTCCCTACATCTATCTTTGTCACTTTCCTTTCAGCAATCTGCCTTTAACAAGCATCCTTTCATTAGCAGTTCCCTGGTCCAAATGCATACCTTAAGACATATTGGTAGAAGAGGGTGCACTTGATATTACCACATCGGCAATTCCCCAGGAGAGTACCATTAAGGTTGGGAGGAATTAGGCACACTGTCCTCCAAATGAATGGATTACAAGAAAGCAAGGTCCTGGAGGGAGTGATGACTTCACACAGTGTCTCCAGATTGTGGTGTTGAATGGAACAATTATAGAAAACAGGAGCCAGTGTGAAGCTGATTAAGACTAGGTGCTGACAGAAAGCCTCATACATCAAAAGTTCTGAAAAGAGTGCCCTAAAAGAAAAAGGGTTCAAATGCGATCCCAATGCAAATGCAGTGCTAACTTCTGGGGTCAATAAACTTTGGTCCAAAGATGGGTTCATAGCAGAGTGAAGGTTGAGCCAATACAACCAGCTAAGTGCCTTGGAACCAAATGCTTCAGAATGTAAGTCACCTTTTACACTACTTGTTTTTTGTATTCCACATCAGATATTTCTTATCTACACCCACGAAACGAAAGAAACACACTTAAGAAGCCATTAAGGTGGCAGAAGAAGACAACCAAGAATTCCCTACACAGTTGAACTCAACTGAACCTTTTTCCAAGGACAGATAAATTATGGCTCTGTTGTGAAAGGACTCCTTTTGGAATATTGGACCTGGTTCGGACAAGGAGTTCCCTTGTGTGGCTAAGTTACCTCTCTTGTCTGATGTCAGATGAAGAAGATTAACATCTTATTGGCCCCAAGAAATGGCACTGATGGCCAAGTGCCAAACTGGAGTACCTACTCTCACCATACACATAGAACTCGGCTGTAAAACAAACATGCACTGCAAGGCTAAAGTCATAATTCCTGTGACATGGCTATTTTGCACGTAGACGCTAAACCGTTAGAAATACATTTTTTTCAAGTATGGAATTTACTATTTCTCCTGAATAGAAAAACTATAGTAACCCCATGGATTTTCACCCAAGCAGAGTAATCACAACATATTGTTTAACCTGTGAATCTATAACAAGGGGCTTTAACCCATGATACAATAATGTAGACTTATCACACTGACATAACACAGATTAAAACATTCTTCATACCTACCTCCTTCAGCAGTCTCCTTACCACTGCCATGTATCCACCTCAGCTTGGTTGACTAGAATAAAAATGATAAAGTTCCTCCTGTCTCTAAACCCCAGTGAAGCCATCACTCCTCTGTCTGCTGAGAACAATTGAGCTTCATTCTATGCAAAGAGCATCTGCTACCTGTTAATCAGTCTAATTAGGGCTTTTAATTTTGCCTGATAGGGCTTTTAATTTCCTCTGAACGGCTTGTAAAGCATGGCAAAGGAAAAATCCCTCATTGCTCATTTTTCACGGCTGATTGGAGAAGCTTGCATGTTCAGGATGTTGTACATCCTTTAATTGAACAGCAGCAAAAACACTTTTCTTGACAGGAGGGGGGGGGTGTCTGACAGAGACTGATGTACTGACTGCACACACTTTTGGATCCAATATTCATCCAAGGAAGAATGTCTTTATCTTCTGCTTCCTCTCTCTTCCTGCTCCCTGTGGAACTTGCCAAGCCTTCTGAGAACAATTAGCATCATTTGCTGTTAATTATATCATACCTAATTTGGGCTATCAATCAATTTCCAATTACACACTTGAAAGGACAGAATAGATAGGGAAACTGCTGCCTCTTCTCTACCCCGGGAAGTCATGTTATGGTAAACAATGCTGTGAATGACTCCAGGAAATAAAAACGTACGATGATCACTGATTGATATGCACGTACTGAAGCTCCTAAATAATCCAATCCTTCATTTTTACTAACAGAACACTGGAAGACAAGCAATGATGTCTGGCGTACACAGAGTAATGGTAAAAGTAAAACTGCCCTAGCATTTGTCAGCACTGATACTTACATGCAGTAACAAGCATGTTTTCTGGTCCCCCCCCTTGGACATGATATCTTTGAGGCTACTGTTACAAGACAAGGAGACTTTTATACCCAATGAGTAGCTGTGATGATACCATGTCATCATTGTAAAAGACCCTGTCTATACTGAGTTCTTTATAAGGGTAGAGAGAGATACCATTACCACATTGGCAGTGATCTGCACCTTGAACTTGGCCTTTCTTCTTGACTATACATCTTTATCATCCTTGACCTTATGACTTGTCTTCCTTTGCCTCCATGTTGCCTCTGTACCCCTACATCCCTTTTAACCTCACCCCAGGCAGCAAGTGTTTCCTGACCCCTTCTTCAAATTGAATCTGCTTCAACTTGGGCCCTGATCTTCTGCCAGCTGCATTACAGGCATGGAAGGCTTGAAACACTGGGTGCATAAAGCACTTTTGTGCATCCAAAATGTGCTCGTAAATTTTGACTGTAGGTGCAATGGTGCTCATTTATATTTTTGTCAGAAAAAACAATAAAACTTTTGTTGTATTACTTGTTTAGAATTAGGTATAGAATACAGAATTAAGTTAGGCAGGTAGGGTAGTAAGTAAGTTTTGCTAACATTCTCCTCTTTCTATTTTTCTCTCTTTCTGTGCATCTGAATTTTTAGGGTAGGTCCACTACTGTACCAATCCCCCAAAATATGTCTATGCCTGAGCTGGCAACAAAGAATAACTATCATGGTTCATATCTATTTATTTCATGGTTCATATTTATTTATTTCAACACCAAAAGCAAACCTTGCAGCAGGGATGAGAATCCCTGAATTGAAAGAGTTTGCGTACAGAAAAAAAAGTTACAATAGGCAAAACAAACACTATATACACACCCTCATATACAGTATAATACATAAAGAATTTGTACCAAGCAAAAAACTATATACAGATGAGGTTTAGGAAAAATAAAACTAGTGATACGTCAGTTCTTTGTTGTATAGGGCTATGGAGTCATTACATAAAATAATGTGTATAACACAATAGCAGGAACGTAACTTTTCAAATGACAATCAAACTTTCAAAGTCAATGAAAATTTCCTACATTCGCATGAAACTTAGCAGTTTTATTTGAGCCATTTCACAACTCAGCCATCCAGTCTAACACGTACCAGTCCTATATTTCTGGACACTTCTAACAAATAACAAGTAATAAACAATTTACTCAGAG